CTCTTATGGTTGTCTGGAGACAGGTACAATGAGTTCTAGTCAACGTGTTTTGAGTTGAAGTACCACATGCTATTTCTGGACAAGAGCATTTAACCACTTAGGAGGAGACCCTTTAGAGCTCATGCTCCCAACTGCCCCAAGCATAGAAATTGGCAACAATTGAGAAATTGTTGGCAACAATAAAGATAATCACTGCTTCCTGGATCTATGTCCCTAAGTAATGGTGATGAGAAAAGCACCCAGGCGACCCAAGAATCAGCAAGAAATAAATCTTTGTTGTTTAATCTACTCCGATTGTTACAGCAACACGTTAGTCCAGCCCAGGTGGTAAAATGAATAAAACTATAAGACCCTAAAGCTTCTACAAAGTAACAGTGAGCTAGAACTATGTCATAGCTTAAAGTGTCTGATTTTATTCACCTCTATTGTAGACTAACTCCTGATCGCTCCTTCTTACTATCCTTACTCTGATCTGCTTATTAAGCCCACAAAATTTAAACCGCTGTTTCCTGCAGACAACAGTAATCAGTGCTGAGACCTGAGAGTAGGCAATTTAGGTACCACAGAAGTGCAATGCATGTTCTCACTGAGGAGATGAAATTTAGAGATTTGGTCAAAAGATGTGAAATAGACCAAAAAAGTATCACTAGTCTCCCCTTCCCAGTGTTTAATCTACTTCTATGGACTGGTGTTGATAAAAACCTCTTAACAGCAGAAACTCTATTTTGCTTTCTTTGGTTTCAGGCTGTAAGATGACTAGAGGGTCAGATGAGTCATTGTTTGGGGACCTGAAAATTTCCAGCTGTACTTAGAAGGATTTCATAATTTTCTCTCAAGAGGTAGCATTTAACAGAATTTTATATTTTTTTGCCATGTGGTAACAATAAAGTAGAGATTGATGAGGGTTAAATCTTAATGGGTTATTTACTGTATTAATTAAAATTTTATTAGCTTCATGGAAGCTCTTCTGCCCAACATGTCTCAGGGCACATATAAGGAATTTAATTTTACTTTTGTTTTATGTTTTAAAATTAATTCTGTTGCTCCCTGATCTCAGGTGAGCCATTCACAGATAAATATATGGATCATCACAGAATTTCAGGGGTGGTGGGAGCAAGATTGCTTTTAAAACACTTACAGTAGGTCTGGGCTCTGTCGCTGGTTATCTTCCTGAATGTCTGTTTTCCCCTCAATCACAAAAGTATCAGTGATTCAGATAGGCTTAGAGCAAACCTGAAGTCCATTTTGCTCTGCAAATATGTCATCAGTCTTTCCATTCTTTTCAGATTATGAAGATAAAGCTTTTGTTGTGCATGATTTACACACTGTATGGTTATACTGGAGTTGACACTCAAGTATTCTATATTTGCTTTGTTTTTGTTTTAAGGCAAAGTTCAAATCAGGTAGCTAATTTTACCATTCCATATTTTCCCATTTATTCACCCTGTTTTACCCCATGCCTGCAAAATAATAAAATTATATCCAATCAAGTGTAAAATACATGGTAAATAAAGCCACTGGATGAAGGTAAATTGCAATCCACCCAACAAATTCTTTTGAGCACTAACTTCTTACCAGGCACAGTCCTAGATTTTGAAACTATAACAAGAAAGTGCAACAAAGAAGATCCTACTCTCATGAAGCCTACATCTTAAAGGGAGACAAATGATAAATACAATTAGTTCAAATAAGTGCTGTTGTTATAGGACCCCTTCGCCCTAGAGCTCACTTATCTACTCTTCCTGCTATCAATCACCCCACCTCACCCTGGCTAATGGGAATTTTACAAAACCCCAGCCATTCAATCACCATGGACACTTCATCCTACATATGCTTCCTGCATTTGGACAATGGCTCCAAAACCAGCAGAAACCAGATGTATACACAGACCCAGACAGCAGAAGGCCCCACCTAAAGGTGACTTAGGACTCATTAGCCTGCTAAAACACACACCCCAGGAGGAGACTTGACATGCTAATAAACATGCGATGTCTGAAGAAGCAAGTAACCCACCTACATGTTCCCCATATAGCCCACCCTAAAAGACACTATGTCACTGCTTCCAAAACCCCGCTCTGGTAACCAACCCCATAAAACCAGGGTCATTGCCCTCTCTGGCCGAGAACATGGCTCAGGGCTTGCTGCCCCTTTCCTAACAGTGTGATCCACAATAAACATTTCTCACTTGAACCTATTGGCTCCTTCAAATCTATCACAGATTAACTGGTGAAAGCCAAAGACCCTTTGAAATCAGTAACACTAGGAAGAACATTAAACAGTGATGGCAGCGCACACTGGTAGAAGTGGTGTCACTCCTCCAAAAGGTCCTATTTGAGTGAAAGCCCAAATGATAAGAAGCCAAAGATCTGGGACCAGAGTCATCCAGAAAGAGCAACCAGTAGGTTCAACAAAGAGCCTGAAGTGAGAGGATCTCAGCCCACTGACAGGAGCTGGAGACTGGGCAGAAACGGAAGGCATAGGTCAGCTCAAGGTGAACCATGTAGTTCAAAGTAAATATCTTGGATTTTATTCCAAATGTAATGAGAGGCTCTGGGACATGTGAAGTAGAAAAGTGAGATTAAGGGCCTCCCCGGTGGCGCAGCGGGTTGAGCACAGCACTGTGTAGCTGTCTGCAGCCTCTGCAGCGCGGGTTTGATTCCGGACAGGGAGATGCCCACATGGCACGGCAGACTTCTGTTGCCCTCACTGCTCCCCTTAGCAGTGTGTTTTTGGTCCATCTGCCTGTTCTGTCCCCACTCTGTCTCTGGTGAATCCTCTCACCTCCCCCACACACACCTCTGGCCTGCACCCCAGCTCTTATAAGCATAAATAAATAAATCTTTAAAAAAAGAAAGAAAGAAAGTGAGATTAAGCCGTAGGTATGTAAATATCACACCAAAAATCTGACAAAAGTGGTCAAAACTTAATTTTCAAAATAGAATACTGGTCCCATCAGCTCTACAGAGAAAGGTAGGGATCTCTGAGGCAAACAGTTCCTGAGTTTCCACTTCTCCTTAGGGTGCTAAGGCTCATGCAGGCCAGTACTCAGCAGTCCTGGAGGAATATGCACTGTCTTTCAGAACAGCCATCCAAACTGGGGTGTCCTGTCGAGCTACTTCCAGAGTTCGTACTCTGCCATCGTGATATATTATCAAAGCCAGAATCCTAAAGAAAATAATTGTCAGCTAGAGACATTGTGCATTTTATTATCACTGGCCTACCATTACATGGGCCTCTATAGAATTTTTTTTTTAAAGATTTATTTTATTTATTCATACAAACACTGAGTACAGTCAGAAGCGCGGGAGGGTGAGAGAATTCACCAGAGCCAGAGCGGGGAACAGAGAAGGCAGAGGGACCGAAGTACACTGCTGAGGGGAGCAGCAGGAGAGGTCTGCGCGCCATACGGGACCCTCCTCCTGTGGCCGAGGAGCAGCTGGGGATCGAACCGGCACCGCAGAGGCTGCGGGCAGCTTCGCAACCCAGTGCTCAACCGCTGCGCCACGGGGGAGGCCCCCTCTATAGAATTTTCTTTAAAGGCATTGGGGGGGGCCTCCCCGGTGGCGCAGCGGTTGAGCACTGGGTTGCGAAGCTGCCCGTAGCCTCTGCAGCACCGGTTCAATCCCCAGCTGCTCCCCGGCCACCAGAGGAGGGTCCCACATGGCGCACAGACCTCTCCTGCCGCCCACTGCTCCCCTCAGCAGTGTACTTCGGTCCTTCTGCCTGCTCTGCTCCCCGCTCTGGCTCTGGTGAATTCTCTCACCCTCCCGCGCTTCTGACTGTAACCAGTGCTTGTATAAATAATAAATAAATAAATCTTTAAAAAAAAAAAAAAATCTTTAAAAAAAAAAAAAAAAATAAAGGCATTGGGGGGAAAAATCAGCTGCATTTTAAAATACTAAAATAGTTGTATTGAAATACATTATAAAATATAAAACATTAAATGTTATAAAATAGTGTTGAGTTTTATAGTATTTCATTTACTGATCCTAATAGTCTTTCATAAAACCTTCAAGTGTTTTCTGACAGAAATCAGTGAAATGTGTTTTTTGCCTCAAGTAAAAAAATAAAATTTACGAACCATGCTTGTGCCAGTTCTCTGAGATGCCAACTTGATTAAAATTTGCCTAAATTTGCTTTCAACTTGGCAGAGTGCCACTGATAGTCTGCCATTAAACAGGTGGCATTTCTGTCAAGAAGGTTCCTACTTCTTCTTAGAAATGTAGATTAAAGTGATTTGCTTTATAAAATCCCTCCTCTCAAAACCAACATACACCAAATGGATTTATTCCCAAGGAGAATTGCTACCTTCCCATCAATCTCTTTTCACTGCCAATTCTAAACTCCTTTGTCAGCCCCTGGCAGACCCCAGTGAAAAATCTTCATAGATTTGCTTCCAATAATCAGGAAGCAGTTGGGCTGATAATTATCTTTTAAAACAACCACCAACAATGTTTATTCAGTGTAATGCAAGTAAGGTAACCAATCTATCCTCCAAAGACAGAGGGATGAATGGACAACTTCATTTTAAAACTCACTAAAAGTAGGGAAGTTTTCTTCTTGGCTATAAAATAATACAGAACAATTTACTCAGGGCATACACACATCCCCTTGGGAAAGAATCCAAGGCTAGAGACTCACACTGAAACACCAATGCAACTGATGGAAGCTTAGACTAAAAAGATTCAGGATGGAAGGTCCCATAAGAACAAGCTCTAGAGGTGGGGGTAGGGATAATTAACAAAAACTTAACTAAGCAGGCTAAGGATATTTCCAGGAATCTAAAGCAGGGGGCGGCCAGGGGGAGAAAGAAGAAAGAAGAGAATATCAGAGGTGCAGGCAAAGAGGATTATCAAATTTAGAAGACCACCAAACCAGACACCAAAGCAAGAGGTCTTACAAAGGCATAAATCCCATCAGGAGCATTGTATGCAAGAACACTCCCTGCCGGGTACAACAAAGCACTCCTGCCATTTATGCAGGCTTTTCTTTTCACAAACCTTTTCCCTCTGCAAAGCAGCAGAAGCAGCAGCAGCAGCAGCAGCAACAGCAGCTCTCTGCCCATCTGTGTGTATGCTGGAGTCTTTTTTCTCTTTTTTTTTCCTTTCCTTAATAAACTTGCCATGTGCTGATGAATAGGAACGTCCAACACCACCATTGCATTTTCCTCACTTTGGCATGCAGCAACAGTGACAAGTCTTACAATAGCACAGTGACTTTTAAACATTGAATTGTCCCTGTAATTATTTAAAAATCAAATTTCAATGTCTTGATTTCCAATTCTTTTGAGGTTAAAATAATTGAACTGTTTGTTTGCCTTTCTGTAAAACAACAGTCCCCTGAGGGTAAGAAGTGGCAACTCCCTATAGAATGGAAATGTTTCATTTGCCAGGCTTTACCAAGGCCTATTATTTTGTAATCCTTCCCTGCAGCATACAATACCTGCCTAAAGAGTACAAATCCTCTTTGGCAATAAAGAGACCTATCAGATGGATGGATGAATGGATGGGTGGGTGGGTAATGGATGAACAGATAGAGAGAGAAGATATTTCAATTAAGGCCCAAGTTACCAAGTTTCCCTGAAGAGGGAAGTTTTATAGCAAGCACTCTTATGTACCAAACACTGTGTTTCCAAGGTTTCCCAAAAATTAAAAATTTGACTTCTTCGATTAATCAAACTGACTAGTAGACGTAAGTAATTGAGACTATATAAGAATCTGGTGACTTTCAGAACTCCAGAACCTATCATTCCTTTCTGCTGGTCATCAAAACGGGTAACTTTTGGTACTTGGGAAACCACTTATTATCCTCTATGGCAGTTTTTTTTTTAAAGATTTATCTATTTATGCATATAAAAAGTGGGGTACAGACCAGAGGTGTGGGGGGTGAGGAATCACCAGAGACAAAGTGGGGAACAGAACAGGCAAACTGAAATACACTGCTGAGGGGAGCAGCAGGCGAGTCAGGAGAAGTCTGCTGCGCCATATGGGTCAGCTCCCTGGCCGGGGATCAAACTCGTGATGCGGTGGCTGCAGATAGCTTCATCATGCTGTGTCTTAACTCCTTGCACCACCAGGGAGGTCCCCCATATAGCACTTTTATGGGAAATAGAGAAAGTGTCCCTTCCTCCGGGTTGACATAGATCCACCACTTGGCCAGTAAAGACTGGTGGCTTTTTTGCCATCACTCTCCTTCTGCGTTCCAGCCACTTGTACAGAGAAATCTATACAAATATATTTAGCAGCACAGCCCTAGAAGTTAACTGTAAACAAATGCAAATGAAATCAACATTCACAAGAAACTCAACCAGGGAGATAGAGCTGTCAAGAGATTAAAGACATGAAGACTTGGAGTGCTTTTTTTATTGGTATACTGTGTTTTTAACATGACAGATGAAACAGATTTCAGAACTGTTGAAAAAGAAAAAGTAAGTAAGACCAAGAGGTGAAAGTCAAATCCAATTCCAAACTATGTAATCTAAGATCATTCTGTCCTGATGAACATGTCTTCCACTTGGATAGACTCAGGGTCTATTTGAAAAACCAATTCCTTATTTGTTGCGGGTAAAAGTGCTCTGCAAGTATTTGTGTGTCAATAAGAATTCCACACCATATGGATAATATGTTTTCTTTTTAAAAAATATTTAATAGTCCAGTCCAGTTCATCTTTCCTATTCCTTGATGGAACATGAGTTTCAACAAGTTGTTCCAGTCTTACTGACCTGAAATTTCTCCTGTCCTACTGTTATAGGACAGGGAGGGGGCAGCCCAAGCCCCGCAAACCTGCCTATTCTAAATGGGTTCTGCCATCCGCCACATCAACACAAAACATATGAGACTTTAATGGGAAGGAACTTTAATAAAACTAGGAAACAATACAGGTAAGGCAAAGAGTCTAGTTTCTAAATGAAGCACCCAAAGTTACCCGTCCCCTCGTGGGTAAAAGTCCATCCATATGGGATTGGCCCAGAACAAGGCCCCAAAGCCTGCCACAAGTCTAAAGCATCTTCCTGTGGGGACCCACAGAAAAGGGTCAGAAACAACCAGACAAGCCCGGAAGGAAAAGAGCAAAATCAACATCAAGATAAAAGCTGCCATTGTCACCTCCCCATGGGTCTCACCCACGTCTGTGTCACCCAGTCCACAACCCAAAGACAAGCGCAGTTTCTTCACGTGTCTCTAGGCTCCATGCGCCTCCTCCAGGTCTCCTGGCTCCATCCTGCTTCCTTCCTTCCTCAGTCTCTTCTTCAGCTTCTCCTCTTCCTGCTCAGCTCCACCCTCCCTTGGGTGGGGCAGGGAACCTGGAACCTCCCCCTTTCCTGGGGACCACCCTGTTACACTACCTCGCACTGTTCAATTTTGTGTTTCTCAAGCGGACCCTGCTGACCTCATTACCTTGGGTTTTCAGTGGGAATCCTGATGCCCTGACTCAGTATATTTGCCATTACAGACTTTTGTGCTATTTGAATCTAAAGAATTAGCACTTAACACAAAATTGATTTCTTCCTAGCCCGTTGGAAGCACATATGTCAAATGCTCTTTTGACTTTTCTGGAGGAAACACCAGGAATAAGACCCCAGCTCCACCATAACCTCCTGCTTCCATTTGGGAACTAAAATAATGGGCAGGAACCTCCCTGGTGGTGCAGGGGTTAAAGACACAGTGCTGTCAAGCTATCTGCAGCCACTGGAGCATGAGTTCTATCCTCAACCAGGGAGGTAACCCACATGGCCCAGCAACTTGTATGCATAAATAAATCTTTAAAAAATAAATAAATAAAATAGTGGCCAGTGGCCCTGCCCTAGAAGGAGGGAAAAAGCAGCCCCACCCTCTTCTTCACCAGAGAAAGCAGTTTTGAATTATGTAGGTCATCACTAAAGAGTTCTTTTTCAGATCATATAGACAGTGGGAATGAAAGAAGCATTACGGAGAAAGAAATTTATTTTGTCACATTGAAATATCATTGATCACTACCCAAGTTACAAATATTTCAAATAATAGTTTACCATCGTACCATGTAATTCTCCCCTTTATAAAATATCACAGTAATAAAGTTCTTCTTATCTAAAATAAGATTATACCTTCTCCTACAGACTGATTCATATTTTGCAATTTACTGGTGACAAAGATGTGTCTTCAAATTCCTCAGTGACAGTGGTGGAAGGTACGGTTGTTCCAAGTTGCCATCATAGCCCCTAGGACACCAAGTGTGAAATGGCTGAATAGTACCATTCTGGGAGTTGCAGTCTCAAGATATACTTAATAGAATTTTATAGGAAATACCAAGACCAGGCCCTTCTCCCTCTCTCCACAATCTTGCATTTACACACACTCACACACACACACAAACACACAAAAGAAAAAAACAACCAGGAATTACCACATACACACACACACACACAAGAAAAAAACAACCAGGAATTACCAATGCCTGTTGGAATCGGGGAAGAAATGCCTCCTTTACTCTACCACTCCTGCTGAGGGGGAATGAACCCAGTTGGGCCCAGCCCCATAATGAAGATGTGCCAGTATTAAAGAAAGAAGAGAACTGTTCCTCATCTGACTTCTATATCTTTGTTTCTCCATGGGTCCAGAACCTACAGGGAGATGCCATGTACTTAAGCCTTTGATTCCCAGCAATTCCCACAGCTGAGAACAGAGTGCATGAGACAGAAGAGTCAGCTGACCAGAGAGCCATGGGGGCAGAGGCAGGACGTGCACAGGGCCCACCACACGTTGGGGAAGACAGGCCCAGTGATACATGACAGTAGCAAACACACTGCCTCTATGGGGACTTCTTACCCTTGTCATTAAAAAAAAAATCCTGGGCCTCCCCTGGTGGCGCAGAGGTTGAGTGCTGGGCTGTGAAGCTGTCCTCAGCTTCTGCAGTGCCGGTTCGATCCCCGGCCACTGGCTAGGGTCCCACATGGTGCGCAGATCTCTCCTGCCATGCCCACTGCTCCCCTCAGCAGTGTATTTTGTCAGTCTGCCTGTTCTGTTCCCCACTCTGGCTCTGGTGAATTTTCTCACCCACCCGCCCTTTTGACTGTGCCCAGGTGCTTGTATAAATAAATAAATAAATCTTAAAAAAAAAAATCCTAAGTTTAACAAAACCCACACTTGTTTGCTCTATAGTCATAAGACACTGAGAAATGAAAGCCAGGAAAAGAAAAATATCAGAAAGAAAAATCAGGCCAGATATAAATAGAGGACATTCTGTTAGTAATATTCAGTTATAGGTTTTCACCTGTATTTTACTAGGAAGAATTAGAAAGTAATATTCAAAGTCTGCCACATAGTAGCTCAGATGTTATCTGTAATTAGGTCTTATAGTGCTCATCACCAGGGAGGAAGATGAGCTGAGTTAATGCTGTGAATCACTTGGTCAGAAAGGGTAGAGCACACATGCAGTGTTTCTAATAAAACTGAGACTTCACAAGGCTTATTCCCACCCAAGAGGGACAGAAAGGGCAACCACACATCCCAGCTTGCCCGAGGCACTGCTGGCTCACACCTATTGCCCAGCATACTTATTAATAACAGTGCTCCTTTTTGTTCTCAAAAGGCCACAATCCACACGATCAGTCAGAGGGTCCCTGTAGATGTGTGCCATTTCGTGGATTTGTCCCAATCCATAAGCTGTATCATAACAATATGTCATAGACTACACGCAACAGCATCTCTGGAACTGAGGAAAAGTTATAAATGAAACTTATTTAGAAAGTATTATCAGGGCCTCCCCTGGTGGCAGTTGAGCACTGGGCTGCGAAGCTGCCCGCAGCCTATGCAACGCCGGTTCAATCCCCGGGCACTGGCGAAGGTCCCACATGGCGCGCAGACCTCTCCTGCTACACCCACTGCTCCCCTCAGCAATATATTTCGTCAGTCTGCCTGTTCTGTTCCCCACTCTGGCTCTGGTGAATTCTCTCACCTTCCCGCCCTTCTGACTGTGCTCAGGTACTTGTATAAATAAATCTTAAAAAAAAATAGAGGGCCTCCCCGGTGGCGCAGCAGTTGAGCGCTGGGTTGCGATGCTGCCCGCAGCCTCTGTAGTGCCGGTTCGATCCCCGGCTGCTCCCCGGCCACCAGAGGAGGGTCCCACATGGCGCGCTAGACCTCTCCTGCCGCCCGCTGCTCCCCTCAGCAGTGTACTTCTGTCCTTC